TTTGTATTGTGTATATGCCTAAGAGTAAAATTTCTGGGTCACAGAATGTACAATTATTCAGCTTGAGCACCTACTGCCAAATATTTTTCCCAAGTGATTTTGCCAATTTACATTCCCACGGCAATGCATGAGAGTTCCCGTTGCTCATCAACTCTTTGAATTATCAGCCTTTTACATTTTAGTTATTCTGATTTTATGTAGTTTTAGTTCATTGCAGTTTTAATTTGAATTTTTCTAATGATTGAGATTGAGCACTTTTTCTTATGCTGGTTGGCCATTTTCATAGCCTCTTTTGTGAAGTGCCTGATGAAATCTTTACCTACTTTTCAATTGGATCATCTTTATTTTTCTTGTTGATTTATAGAAATTCTTTATATATTCTAGGTGCAAGTTCTTTGTCATATGTAGTGCTAATTTTTTTTCCTCATTCTATGGCTTGGCTTTTCACTCTCTTTATGGTTCTTAATTTTAACATAATACAATTCATTTTTTCCTTTATACTTAATGATCTTTTTAGATCTACAATCACTCTGAAACTATTGGAAGAATGGTGTTAAATAGAGGGCAAGATTTGGTTTTCCTTTCCTCCACACGGATATTAATTGAGATGCTGCTGATGTTGCTTTCCTCCAGAGAGGAATTATCTTATCTTCTGATAGTTTTCCCTAAGGCTTCACTTCAGCTAAGTAGGGCTGAGGTGATCTGCAACTCATCTGCTATTTTGTCTGAGTCCATTCGCCTCTACTTTGCTCCCTTTCCGTGAGTGAACTCTCCAAGGGTCCTAACTTAGACTGTAGCCCAAGACCCTTTCTTCTTTTTTTTGGGGGGGGGTGGTCCTATTTTTTATCAAAACTTACACACAAGAAAACTAACTCATTATAGTTCACAATTCTGCAGGTTTTGACGAATGCATAGTTACACAACACCCACCCACATATAAAATATAGAACAGCTCTATCAATCCCAAAATGGTCTTTCCTTCTTGAACTTTTAAGTCTTTCCTAGTCAAGTCCATGAAATTGCTGAAAACTCTGCTTTGCTATTCAGAATGTTCTGCTTAGTTTTTAATTCTTTTATATCCTCTGTCCTTTGTATCTTAAGGACAGCAAATGCCTGGAGGGGGAAAACACTGAATATGAGGTCACTTTTCCAGGCCTTCCTTCCCTCCAAGAAGATGTTGGCCTATCAAGTCCTGGAAACTGCAGCAGCTCTCTGATGCCTTCAAATAGATTTTGGTTTTTTGGAATTCTGTCCAAATTTTCTGGTTGTTCTCGATGAGAACGTTGGATTGCCATAAGCTGTTCCATTATAGGCAGATACCTAAGTCAGTCTAGCTAAATTCAACAACAAGGTGGCTCACATCTGTAATTTCAGTGACTCAGGAGGCTGAGGCAGGAGGATCCCTTGAGGCCAGGAGTTCAAAGACAGCCTGGGCAAAATAGCGCAATCCAATCTCTTAAACAAAAAAGAAGAAGAAGGAAAGAAAGAAAGAGACAAATAAACCAGTTGGTTGCAGTAGCTTATGCCTGTAGTTCTAACTACTTGGGTGGCTGAGGTAGGTAGGAGGATTACTTGAGCACAGGAGCTTGAGGCTGCAGTGAGCTATGATTGGGCCACTGCCTTCTGCCTGGTTGACAAAGCAGACTCCTCTAAAAACAAAAACAAAAACAACCCTCCTCCAGAACATTTTTTAAAGTCGATCTCAAAAACATAAAAGAAAATGTCAATGTTGGCATCTATGACTACTACTCCATGTGTTCAGTCATGGAAAGAGCTTTGGAATAAAACAAATCTGGGTTTCAATTCCAACTCTGTCAGTTATTAACTATGTAACAGTGAATCTAAATATGTTTGCTTAACTTAAAAGGATAATAAAAAGCAACTAGCTTCAGATTTTTCTCATGAAGATTACATGAGAACAGATATCAAGCACCTTGCACATGGTAGACATTTGATAAGTTATAGATATTATGCGATATATATCATATAATCATAATTATATGATATTATCATTTCTCTTGGAGCTATCAAATTCATTGATCTCCTAGAATTGATGGAGAAGGCTGGGAGTAGGTGGCCACCAAAAAGCAATACTCTTCTCTGAGCACCCTGTTAGATGCTGAAAATGGGGGAACTTTGTTGAACTTGTGTTATTCATAACTATGACAAGGTTATTCACAGATATAGAGATATACACAATGCATTTTTTTCTTGAAAAACTGTAGCATTGTACATAAACCATCTGAGTTGAAGGACTCTTAAAAATCTATTCCAAATGGTTCATGTTACAGATAAAAGAATTGAATAGTTAAATGACTGGTTCAGGGTCAATTCACTTGTTAGTATTTATTTAAATGACCCAAATTCCCTAAGTTCACATATTTTCTTCCTTCTAACATACTCCTAGATCCCATATTCAACTGTAAATGTAAAACAGAGACAATTCATATGTTTTATTGTTACTGGCTCATTCTGACTAAAACCCATAGATCTATTTTTAAGTATTTTATTTTAATTTCCATCTCCACAAATTATGTGACTTCCTGCCAACTAAGACTGAAATAGCTACTTGCCATTCTTTTCCCATTCCAAGGATTACGTCCTGTAGCTTTTCATTCCTCTGTCTGTTATTAAGAAATAGTCTGCCTTGTACTCTAACATACAAGACAGAAAGGAGGTCTTGGAAACCCGCAGAACACTGTTCTCTTCAAGTTTCCCAAGTGAGAAAGGGAGGCGGGGAAGCTCTGTGGATGCAGAAGTGACAGTGTGCCTCCCTGGCAGTGTCCTGTGTGGGCAGGGACAGACCATCAGCACCACTACCGCCCTCACGCTTCCCACCAAGGGCATCCCTTTGGGGATCTTTTCTTCGTAAGACCCTTCGTTCACCACGTCTTTCAGCAATGTGTACCCTACTAATGGACACATGAGCCCACATCCCATATGAACTGAATATTTGGAAGAGCTTCATGGTCACAGAGCCCACAGCCATGCCATAAAAGCCTCCTACCAGGATTCTCCAGAGCTTTGCCTGGTGCACACTTTCTCCAGATTTTTCCATGGTCGACTTCTTCCTACCAATGTATTTTCAGCCTAGATGTCTCTCCTTCAGAGAGACCATCCCCTCACCATCCAACCTCCAGCGACCTTCAGTGGTCCCCTTCACAATCTGCTGTTGCATTCACTCATGATCAGAAGCGTGTTTTGCCTGTACCCCACCAGAATGCAAGCCCCGTGCAAACAGAGTCCTTGCTCACCACTGTGTGCTCCGTCCTAGAGCAGAGTGCCCAGTGAATAAGCAATTGAGGGCACATGTGCTGGCTTCAAAGACTGGCCTCACTGCTAGCTGGGTGAATTCAGGCCAATGGCTTAAACACAGTGAACTTCTCAGTGCTTATCCTATGATATGAATATCCATCTTACAAGGTTATTGTAGTCATCGGATGAAATAGATAATGTGCTTGGCTCAGGGCTTAGTTCTAAAAAATACTTAATAAATAATAGTTATTATTATTTCCATAAGGAAAACAAAACATATTATAAAAGGGTCATTTGAGGATTATTTTATAGAAATAGTAATGTTGAAATCAAGGGACCCTAATTCAACGGTTTAAGGTAAAATTTTAAATTAATTAAAATCTGGTTCTTTTTGCTGGCTATATAAAGTTATTCATTTTCATAAAGGATCTCTAATTTAACCTTTGCAATGATTTCCTGTAACAATAAGTTATCATTTGAGACTCTCCCTTCCTCCCACTTAACCCCTTAGTATCCATTTGGATAATGGCATCTTTCTGAGAACACTTGCGGTGGAAATTTTAAAGTAGGATTTTAACTATTTTTTATAAACATGTGCTGGCAGTGTTTTCCCACGTGTGTAATCTAGAAAGACACTAGTTACTGTTTCTTATGATACTGAATGGCTTTAGCTAGAGGTTTCCCAAAGGCTCTAAGAAAATCAGCACTCTTGTAGGACTAGAAATCTGATTGAGAGGAGAGAAATTACTTTTTTCCTTTTATTACATCTTGGTTCTCCCATAATGAGTGTTTTCAAATAAAACCCATTTCTCCCTATGCCTGAGGAATTGGTTAAATCAAATGAGCAATAATAGTGTCTGGCTGTTTGCCACTGGCCACAGTGGGGACTGGGGAAGGAAGACAGGCTCATTTGCCTAACGGCCCAGCCCCTTCCCCTTGTCCTTCATCATGGGTCTTTTCCTTCCTCACCATGTCCTGTCTAGACTCAGCTTTGCCTGCGGAGAACTTTGGCAAGTGCTTCCAAGCCAGGTCAGCCAGAATCTGTATGTTGGGCCCTGCACGAAAAGCTACGGCTTAAAGGGACATGGTGAGGAAGGCTCACGAGGGCATCGATTTGAAGTTGCAAAGTCACAGATGGTAGAGAAAGATCTTCAAACAGGGAGCAAGAGTTTCATTAACTTTCTGGCACTTACACCCTAAATCTGAAAATAAAAGGGAACAAGCTTATCTGAAGACAAACTCCACTTTTCGTTGGTTTGAGCCATTCACTTTGTTTTCTCTTTAAAGCCTTTCTCCCTTCGTCTCACTGACAAGATAGTCCATGAACATACACAGACACTATAGACCAAAAAAAAGAAAAAAAGTTTTCCCACTTAACAGCATTTTCTTCCTCTATTTCCCCTTTATTCATTCTCAAATATTAAAATAAAAATACTGAGGGAATTGGGAGAAGAGAAAGAGAAACTTGGCAAATAAATACTGTCTCTGCCAGTGGGTTTGTAATAACTATTCCCCCTTCTCTGTCCCATGATTTGGAAAAAATGAGAGATTGACTTCATAATAATTGTGCTTATTTTCTTTAAAATGAAAATGCAGAATAGCTATTTCTATCTGTGCCTTATTTTCCCCTTTAAGGTCCTAACTAGCAACAGTACCTGAGGAAGAAATGATATTCTAAAATATATAGTCTGTATTAACTCAAATTTGTTCAACTTAATCATGCTTCCATCCTCCTTTTATTCCAGGTATCATTGAAACTTTTCAAGAACATCCAATCGAATTCCACGAGGATTGGTGATCACCCAGAAGGCTCAGACATCAGATTGCTTACCTGTGAGTAAAGTTTATGATTTTCTTTGGGCTCTGCTTGTAGCAGTTGCACAGCCTCTCTGCACGATTTTCTAAATTCTTGCACCTAAAGATGCATTGCAAGAAACCAGTCTTTCAGCTGTACCCTCATAGTATAGTTACTAGTTAATCAGTTAGACTCTATTACATAAAGTTTTGAAGAAATTGCTTTCTTGTTATTTTATAATCTGATTTTTTTTGTTTTATTTTTTTATTTTTCCTGCATTTATAATATCTTTTAAAAAGTCCCTGATTGATAATGCAGTCTTCACTTCCTGTTAAAAATGCTAGTGATCTGAGGCAATGAAGAGAGGATGAGTCAGTCTCCCAGGGTGAATACTGGTGATTTCAGGAGCAATAAGTAACTGCGCTTTCAATAAATCTTTCTCACCTGGGAGAACTTCTGCCAGCAGAGGGACCACCGAGGAGCAGGAAGAAGAGATTTCATAGGGTAGAGGATGGAGAAACCAAAGGAAATTTCACTCATTCACAATTTTGCTGGGGTTGGCCCCAGTAGGAATAAAAGGTTTTTAGGAATTTAGCACAGTTCTCGGACGATTGTTTCAGGATTACGTCTGTTGCCCCCATTCTAGTTTGCTCAGGCTGCCATAGCAAAATACCACAGTCTAGGCGGCTTACACAACAGACATCGGTTTTCTCAGAGATCTGGAGGCTGAAAGTTTGAAATCAAGGTGTTGGCAGGGTTGATTTCTTGAGGCCTCTCTTGCAGAGCAGAGGGCCACCCTCCCCCTGTGTCTTCAAGGGGTCATCTCTCCATGCACACACCTGTCTGGTGTCTTTCTGTGCACAAGTTTCCTCTTCTTGTAAGGACACCATTCACATTGGATTAGGCCCACACTGAAGACTTCATTATAACTTAATCATCTTTTTAAAGACCTTATCTCCAAATATGGTTATATTCTGAGGTTCTGGGTATTAGGACTTCAATATAGAATTTGGGGGAAACACAATTCAGCTCACAACACCACCATCATCATGTTTTCTCTCATATGCTGATTTCTAGTTATTTCATATGGAGTTCCCTCTGATTCTTCTCTCCTGAACTTCCTGAGCACTTATTAACTCTGGGGGCACTTGGGGTGCTTTGTGTCCACTCTCATTTCCCTATGACACTGTATAATTTCTGAAAATGGAGAGTGTGCCTTTTACATCTCTCCTGGCACTAGAGGAGGTTTGTGTACAGTAGGCATTTAATACTAAACGACTGACTGATTGACTGAATGAATGAACAGATAGAGGATTAGACGCAGCCTCTGAACCTACAATCTCTCTGCTGTAAGAGTGTCTCCAAATGATGATTATTAAAGGTGCTTTCTCCTCACTTGCTGCTCCCCCCCAAACAGGTGGAGTAAATCAAGGTTGGGGAGAGAGGGTGAAAGAAAGGTGTCATTGACTCATGGCAGAGATAGATGTACCTTTCTCCTCAGAGTGGTAGCAAACAGTAAAGAACATGAACATGCCCGAGATGGGTCACCTTCCGGTGAGAACACTGTTTGGGGAGCTGAGGGGGACCTCCTGACTGTCAGGGCCTGCGGGACATGCAAAGGCAGGTGTCCAGAAAACAAGGGATCTGCAGGTCCGAAGGTCAGGTGAGAGCCAGGGGGAGGATTCCACAGGCATAACCGACAGACGGGAAGTAGCGCCATGGCAGCGGACGAGGCCCCCCAGGGAAGACAGTGTGGAGGGGAGAAGGGCAGTGGCTTAAAGCTTCCATCAGAAATGGTATGGGGAAGTTCTTCCTGGTAAATAGCAGAAGAAGGATGCTCCCAAGAGGAAGAACTCTACACACTACTTCTTTTTTTATTTCGGCATATTATGGGGGTACAGATTTTAAGGCTTCAATAAATGCCCTTTCCCCCCCTCCCCCAACAAGTCTGAGTTTCCAGCATGACCATCCCCCAGATGGTGCACATCTCACTCATTATGTATGTATACACCCGCCCCCGCCCCCCTCCCACCTGCTTAATACCCTGTTACTGTAGTACCTATGTGTCCACTTAGGTGCTGCTCAGTTAATACCAGTTTGCTGGTGAGTATATGTGGTGCTTGTTTTTCCATTCTTGGGATACTTCACTTAGTAGTATGGGTTCCAGCTCTAACCAGGAAAATATAAGATGTGCTATATCACCGTTGTTTTTACCACATTTTATTAATCCATTCTTGGATTGATGGGCACTTGGGCTGTTTCCACAGCCTTGAAATTATGAATTGTGTTGCTATAAACATTCGAGTGCAGGTGTCTTTTTTGTAGAGTGTCATTGGATCTTTTGGGTAGATAGATGCCCAGTAGTGGGATTGCTGGATCAAATGGTAGATTCACTTGTATCACTTTGAGGTATCTCCATATTGCTTTCCACAGAGGTTGAACTAGTTTGCAGTCCCACCAGCAGTCTACACACTACTTCTAACGAGGCTGTGTGAGAACATGTATATTATTAGCTAATGTGTATGCCTATTTTTTTCTCCCTTTCTTTCTTTGCACCTATTTTTGTTCCTTCTTCTATCCTTTCTTTTGGAGACTATGCCCCAAATCATTCATACTGGACTTGCCCTACCCAGCTTTGCTCCCCTTTAGCTAATCCAGCCATGGACACATGTTTGATGCCCCAGCTGCCTGCCCAGGGGGTGTCACACAACAGCACCTTCCTCTGGGGCCATTTCCTTCATCAGCCAGTCAGAGCTGATCAGGAGTAGACTCCTAATGACCAAAGAGACAGAGGTGGGTCCTTTTCAGGATCAGGGGGCAGCCACTCAGTTGCCATGGAGATGGTCAGTGAAGTCCACAGCTGGGGGCGGGAGACGTGCCACTTTGCACCGGACTCCCTCCTTCGTCCCTTGTCCCTGCCTGTCGTCCCACCCCAGCTGTTCCCCGGAGTAGGCTTTGGCAGTATTTTTGGATTTCCTTGTTGGACCAGAATGGGAGCTGGTGGAGAATGGAGGGGCCAGGCCACGGCTCCTGACAGCCGCGACTAGCCTCTCCTCTCTGGGCCCCACCATCAGATGTCATCTCTAATGGGCCCCTGTTTGCCCCAGGACTGAATCTCCCTAATTTCCTCTATTAGGTGATGCAAATAAAAGAAGGAAAGGCATTCATTCGTTTTTCTTTTATTTTCCAAAGTGTTTAACTTTTCCTTTAAGTTCTCACCTTGCTTTAATTTTTTTTTCTTCTCTCTCCCTTAATTTTCCTTCCTTAGCAGAACCCCTGATCTTTGGGGTTTGTCTGATTATTGGCAAGAGACTGTCAGAGGTCTGGACACCTCCTCTTTCCTTTTTGCACATCCCACCCATTTTTTAAAGTAAACTTTGAGCTACCAGCTTTCTTCAAGTACCCACTTCCACACTTTCCTCTTTGCAGTCTTGGAGTAGCCAAGAAAATGGTGCTTATTTTCTTGAAACTACCCAAAACTCAGTGACACCTGAGTCAGTGGTGTTATGCAAATTGCTGTTTGTATCAAATGAGAAATTTTGACGGCAAGAGGAAAGAGCCCTGCAATCCATGAATGGCCTGTTTGGGGTGTTACAATGAATGATGGCCAGTAGCCAGCTTAGGTGCCTCCCAACTGTGTTTCATTAATTTCAGTCAGCTCAAGGGCTTGGAGAGAAAGACCATTTTCCTATGAGCATGTAAAAGAAGTGCTTTGAGTTGTAAGCACCTAGCAGGCTTGGCCCTTATTCTAGAACAGCACAAATGAGAGATTTTATAACCGCTGTGGGCCAATATTTTTGGAGTCAGTTGAAGCTCCAGATGGAGTGGAAAGAGAAGTTTGGGTTATTTTTCCTCCTTCTTCTTCTTTCCTTGAGTTTTGCAGAACGAGTCTCTATGGACACTCTTGACAAAGTGCTCAGACTCGTTTCGATCGAGTGTGCCCAAACTTGCTATGGTAAGATCTGAAGGGCTCTTTCTTAAACTAAGATTCTTTCCTATGGATTTCTGGCAGTGGCTGTAGAACTAGGCTTATATGAGAGAAGGCCTGAAAGCCAGTCCCTTCCCCTGGAGTCCGCCCCCAAAGAGACAGCTCTTGGGTCCTTGTCATGAGGTATGAGAAGGAAAATAACATGATGGGCCTGGGCATAGCCCAAGTTTGGTTAAGGATTGAGGGGATGTGGGGATCACAGATTCCATGGTCTTCCCAGCATTCTGGGAACCTTCTTTCAGGGTAAGGAGGGTAAGAGAACATTCTACCACCGCTGCGTGCAGATTTTGTGACCTTGCACAAATGATGGAATTTCCCTGTCCAGGGATTCGCACCTGGCTTTAAAAGGCACCTCCAATGAAGCACACCTTCCTGCCTGACATGAGTATTGACAGGAAGAGACTGTGCCACAGGGGATAAGCCAAGGTGGTGGCTGGGGACACAGACAGCAGGGAGAAAAACAGACAATGGTGGCAGCAGCTCTTGTCCAGAACTCCTTGCCAGACTTCTGTTCCCATAAGCACGAGTGAGTATGCAGTAAAGGGAAAAGAATGATTGTGCTATTTAGCTTTGAAACAAAACTATCAAGTCTTACCTGAGCTTCCACCTATAACAGGATTTGTGCAGTTATAGGACACAGACTCACCTGCTTCTAAACTCTGCTTCAGGATGCTCAACAAAATGAACTTGGGAATGTCTTGCACTATGCAGTACAATAGTACGCGAGTAGGATTTGAGCAGAACACACAGTCTGGGGTTTTGTTCCTCCTTCCCTTTGCTAATTCCATCATTCACTCTAACACCAGCCCTTAAGAGCTGGAGACAAATGGAGTCTGAATATTCACGCCAACAGGGTACAAATGAGCTGTGATTTCAGGATGCTGGCTGTTTCACTGACAGGGGGAAAGGGCAGTTGGTTGACTAGTTTAATATCTTTGGCTGAAAACACTTTGTAGAAGAGTAATGGAGAAGGCCAACATTAATACTGAGTCCTGTTCTTTAATGACCAAATATGATGTATCATGGAATGGGGCAACCTCAGTTTGGGGA